GTGTGTGTGTGGTGGTGTCGGCGCCGCCGGCACCGTCGTGTGTGTCGTGCGTGTGTCGGTGCATTGTTGTCGATAGTCATGCGTGTCGTGCGCGTGTGTGTTGTGTGTGTGTGTGTGTGTGTGTGTGTGTGTGTGTGTGTGTGTGTGTGTGTGTGTGTTTGCGCGTGTGTGTTTGCGTATGAGTGTATGTGTGCGTGCATGTGTGCGTGCATGTGTGCGTGAGTGCGCGTGCACACCCGCGTGTGCGCGTGTGTGTATACGTGCGTGTGTGCGCGTTCCCACCCGCGTGTGCGCGTGTGTGTACGTGCGTGTGTGCGCGTTCCCACCCGCGTGTGTGTACGTGCGTGTGTGCGCGTTCCCACCCGCGTGTGCGCGTGTGTGTACGTGCGTGTGTGCGCGTTCCCACCCGCGTGTGCGCGTGTGTGTACGTGCGTGTGTGCGCGTGCATTGCCGTCTTACCTGACTCGACTCGGCGGAAATCTTCGACGTAGTCGTCCATGGCGATGCTAGAGCCGGCCAGCACGAGCGGAACGTCGCCAACGATCTCCGTCGTCATGCGCATGTAGTTAGCGACGTCGCGAGCGATGAAACTCTCACGGATGCTGATCGACTCCCCGCCATCAGAGAACCTCACGATCGCCGTGCGGTTAAAGTTGCCACCTTGAAAAAAAGTTTCCACGTTTCACAAAAAGTTTACACCTTTAAAAATAGTTTTTTTCTTTAAGGATTTCTTCCCTTAAAAAAGTTTGCCCCGTTTAAAAAAAGTTTCCACCTTTAAAAATTGTTTTTTCTTTTAATATCAAAGTGTCCACCTTTAAAAAAGTTTTCCCTTTTTTAAAAAATTTTCCCGTTTAAATTTTTCCCCCTTTTAAAGTTTCAACCTTAAAAAATGGAGACTCGGCTCCGTTAAGAATTGCAGTCTGCGGTTGCCAATCGGACGACAGGCGGTGCGGTTTTAATAAACTACCGCGGCGTTTGCCCCAACCAGCCGACGTAGGCACGGTTTTTTTATCGAATCATCTACTGTTGACTAGCAGTCGGTGCTACTGAGTTTTCTGTCGTTGTATATATGCCAACATATATCTATGCTTTCAAACGTTGATGATATGTACTGTACGGAATAAAATGAATAAAAATACTAATTTTATGCAACATATATGTGTAATACATCAGGTATGATGTGTTGTATCTGCTATATATTATATAGGTTATTGTATTTTTTCATGATAATACATGTAGTTTCTGTGCGCTTAATAATATTAGAGTATGTCCTCCAACGCTTAGCAATGATATAACTTAATTAGTCATGATTAATTGCGTAATCACACAGGCCAAACCTAGCAACTTCATTCGATTTACCTTATATAAGTGAATTAAAAAAAAAAAATTACATATGAGTAATTATGGACTCATTAACTTTTAAATAATTATATCGTCTAGGATAATAGGTGGCTCCACTACACAGCGGCAACAGACATAACGCGACACAGTAATTTGCCAATAATATCACCATGAGTACATGATAGAGGACGATATATGACCAGGAGTATATAATATAGATTCTATAGATTCTATAGATTCTATAGAGTATATAGAGTATATAAAATCTATCGAATCTATAGAGTCTATATGATACATTCCTGATAATATACCACGCGTGTCTATAGCACGTAATCCCGATGATAGGAAAAATGGCTAATGCGGTAAACGATACCTGTCAATTCGAAGCCATTTCTGGCCTTCGACACGGACACCGCAAACATCCATCCAATGGCACTACCGGCAGGTGTGAGTAGAGACAGAGGCAGGCCGATTTCAGCTGGCACACGGCTAATGGCCGTGTAGGCTCGTCCATCTCCCGTAACGATGTAAGCGTGCAGGTCAGCGCTGATTGCCCGTCCGTTTACCTCCCCCGTGGCCTTTCCATTGACGCGCTGTGGCTTATCTACCATTGCAGGTATAATATCGCTATATACACGTGCGTATAATAATGTTCAACTCCACTGGGGACACCGCCGCGAGTTTCTAATGCCTATAAGAGACTTAGCACGCGCTAAATCGAATACCATAAGTCCTATACACGAAGCGCGAGATGGAGTGCACTCTTCAAATTAGCGATGTGCACCATATATCACGCGTGCATTTGGGTATCAGGCGATTTTATTTCTCATTTAATATCAGTCCAATGGGCGTATACACAATATCATTGACAATATGTACATTTTCATGCCTCTCATAAACAGCTCCATTTGTTACGCAGGTATACTTAAACACTGATAAAATATTATACTTTACAGAATGGTTGTCCGTCTACAAACAAATTAGTATCCAGTAGCGGTATATCTATGTCGTAACATTGCGCAACCGCTTTACATTCTATTCCTTCAACATCGCACACACGTCATTCTAGTAAAGACGCGAATGCAGCCCTGCCCAGTCGAAAAACCACTCACTCGGTTCGATGCAAGAATGACCGTTTCCGATGAAAGGCTGCGCGCATTCGCAGCAGTAGCCAGGGTTGTGGTCCACGCAGCGAGCGTTGATGTGACACTCATCCGCTCCTTGTGCGCACGTGTGCTGGTGATGTTCGTTCACAGTCAAAACCTCTTGCACTGCGATAAAATCAATATGCACTCAAAATCTCTTGCACTGCGATACAACAACCAATCTTCTTCACGCTCGCAATTAAACCTCTTTACACATCGCGGCTATCTTAGCAAGTTTGCATGTTCTATCGTCTTTCAGAAATCGTAAAGCTATGTATATCTATAATTAGATTAAATGTGTTTCAGTGTATATAGCATTTTTAGATACAGGTTGGTTACGCAAGCGCTGACAAAGTATTTGTAAATGTTTAACAGCATACCAACGCCGTCAATGAGGTCTGGTTCCATGATTGATTTCGATCGAAGGTTTCCGATTTGGAACATCCACTGGCCGCGTTTTCCCACATTTGTGTTTCTAAACAAAAAAAATGCAGTTTGTTTGTTATTTTACGACAAGGACATTTTCGACATGGGTTTGCCCTATTCAGATTATATATATATATATATATTATCAGCTTATACGCCTGTAGCAAAGTCACCTATTAATCTCGTCCACTCGCGCAGTCCCGGATCCGGGCAATTTGTACCAATGGCGTCCGTCGCCGGAATCGAATCCGATTTGTCCGGGTGCGTCTTCAAGGTTAGGATTTTTACCGCCACCCCGGATCCACCTCATGTTCTGGTCCAGATAGTTGAGGATCGCGAACGAATCTCTCTCGTTGGTAATCAGCACCAGTTGAAACGTATTTGTCTGCAGATAAACAAGAAATACGTGGGATTTCACACGCTGCTCTTAATCTGCAATCTGTTAATTAGTGCGTATAAGATGTTATTTCGTATTCATAAGACTACCTTGTAGGACTTTATTTTGTAGGAACCTTGCTTAGTTCATTAATGAGAAATGATTTTATTGTTTGTCTTTAATAAGGGAAACCGGAACGTATAAAATTAATATTAGGTAGTGTGAAATTAACTAGCACTATTAAATATGTACAACTCATGAAAACGGATCCCTTTCAAATGCACCATCTACTACATCGTAGCCTACCACGTACATCTACACCTTGTAAAATGATCAAGGTAATACCCATATAAACTCCGGGAATGTTGATACATAATCGCGAAGACAACACGTCTGACAGACGTAACTTGCTGACTATACGTAGTCTATAATATATATGTATAGTATTATACGTAATATATAGTAGCATGTCTTCCTTCGAACTCGGAGAATTTCTAAAGAAGACAAGATACAGCCAAATAATACAGCGCGCGCTCTCTCACATACCATGTCGCTCTTGCCCTGATAATGGCCGACGCGATCCCACGTGACCACGCAGACGCTCGTCGCCTCGAAGTCCGCGAACGCATTGAAGTGTTTTCGAACGTCGCTGGTCGCCTTCTGCAGGTCGGCCGGTTCTTGCGACTCTCGATAGTAGATCTGACCGTTCACAGTCGTATCGATGTCGGCGTAGAACGCCGCGATACTAGCGACGTTCATCGGCAGCGGGATGTTGGCGTAGTTCGAAATGTCCGTTTCGAATGAGACTAGGCCGTTCGCGTTCACCTAGTAGTCGAGAAGAAGAAGAGAGATCAGGAATGATGAAGAGATGATGAAGAGAGATCACGAATGATGAAGAGATGATGAAGAGAGATGGGAATGATAAAGAGAAGATGAAGAGAGATGGGAATGATGAAGAGAAGATGAAGAGAGATGGGAATGATGAAGAGAAGATGAAGAGAGATGGGAATGAACTGAGGGATGTGCGTGCTACGTGACGCGGACGGGGTTCTAGCAGTCGATCGATTGCTGGGTGAATCTTTCGCGCTACAGCACCCGATGTCAAAAATGAAAAAAAAACAGAATCTCTCTCCCCCCCCCCCGCACTCTCTCTCTCTCTCTCTCTCTCTCTCTCTCTCTCTCTCTCTC